AAGCAATGCCCGTGGAGGTCAGATGAGGCTGTTGGATCCCCTGGGACTGGAGTTACGAGCAGTTGTTAGCTGCCATGTGGATGCCGGGATTCGAACCTGGGTCTTCTGCAAGAACAACCAGTGTTCTTCACTGCTGAGCCATCTCTCCAGACCCAGAAGGTTTTATATCTTGATTTTTTAATTTAATATATTTTTATTTTTTAAGGAGCCAGTGGGATGGCTCAGTGGGTAAAATCACTTGCCATTATGCCTGACATGAGCTTGATCCCCAGGATCCACATGGTGGGTAGAAAGAACCAGGGCCAAAATTTGTCCTCTGATCTCCATGTGTACGTTGTGATAGACAGACAGACAGACAGACACACACACACACACACACAGACACTTTTCAAAATGTCAACTACTAAAATGTTCAAACTGTGGTAGACACAAAGTTCACTTAGATTCCCAACCCTCCAAGCCAGGACTCCTAGTCCTTGGCTGTTCCAGACAGAGAACCAGAGAGTTTTACATAATCCCTGGATAGCCCTGTGCTGCCTGTGGGAGGTTCAGATTCTGAAGTCTGGCCCTAAAGGGAAAACCAGAAGACGCTGAGACTCCCCAGGAACTCCCCACTTTCTCCAGGCTGGGTCCGAGCCCAAGACCAAGGCCAGGCGCACACAGGTGAGAGCAGCAGAGAGAGCCGTGCTATGCATGGCCAGTGGAGCAGCCCAGCGCTGCTGCCCGGTGTCAGGCTTCTGTGTGGTCTCGTGAGCAGGCTACTGGCCAAGCTGCACCTAGGAGCCTCTCACCTACCTGCCCAGAAGCTTCCAAAGCCGGAATCCAGGCCCACGATGTTCAGGACGGAGAGAAGCAGGTGTGGGGAGCTGGGGTCCTCCTAGGAGGGAGTGGAGGAGGAGGAGGACAGGAGGAGCAGCAGCCGGGCAGCCTGGGCTCCTGGTTCCTCCCCGTCCCTGCTCCACAGGCCGCCCTGGCTCCCACCCTTCAACTTTCAGCTCTGAGCACTGCCTGCTTCCCCCACTTCCCCCACGGTGAGGGGACGGCTACGGAGCAGCTTTCGGTTTCCATTCCTGGAAATGGCTGGTTTGCAGAATTTGGTGCACGTTCTTCTTCAGAGGGGGTGGAGCTCTGCCAGATGGCCTGAGTCCAGACCCCTGGAGTCAGATGTCTGTCCAGGGACCCTGATGGCCAGCCTGGGGTCAAGACCTGCAGGGTCTGCCCCTGTGGCTTCCCCACCCTCTCAGAGGATGGCACCTAACCCTGGGCAATGCCACCTTCAGACCCAGTGAGCCCAGTCCTCAGGCAGCCGCAGACTGTCCACAAGGTGGTTCTCCCTGGCCGCAGTTCCTCCTGCTTGTCCTCTTGGTCCCTCCCACCCCACTCAGCTCACAGGCATGAGCTTCCTCCACCATGGAGTCCTTGTTATGGACCCTCGGTCTCATCGCACTTACTCCAGAGTCCGGGACCTCTGATGCCGTCTCTTCTCACCTCAGATTCCTCCGAGCCTGGGAGACAGTTCCTGGTTCACCCTCTGCCTCTTCCCACAGGCAGTGCCACCATGCTGGGCTATGTCTTTGGAAAAATGCTCCAGATTATTGGGCACAGTGCAGCTGCTGAGTGTCTATCAAGCTTTCACACCATGGCCAGAGCAGTGCTGGGGTTGTCAGGCAAGGCAGGGCGGCTGGATGAGCACCAGGTCCTGAGGGTGTCCCGTGGCTGCGTCTCACTGTCACTGACTTCCTGTTCCCACATTCTGTTTGGGCTGCTGTGTATTCTGCCCAAGGTCCCTCTCTCACTATTCAGAGAGCTGGAGGAGCACTTCCCACAGCGGTGCAATCCCATCCTCCCCTGTCAACCACCCCCTGGATGCCCAGTCCTCCTTCCCAGAACAGTACAGCTTCCAGAGCACCCAGCCTAGCACCTCAGTGCTGTGGCCTTCATGATTTTGAAGTCAGAAACTCCTGCCTCACACATACCAAGTAGTTCACTATTATACACAAGTTTTGATCCAAACTGAGTTCACAGCAGACATGAAAAACTGGGGCTCAGGTCTCTACAGAAGTCACAACTGGCTGTGAGATCCTGGGTCTCTGCAGAAGTCACAATTAGCTGTGAGATCCTGGGTCTCTGCAGAAGTCACTACGGGCTGTGAGATCCAGGGTCCCTGCAGAAGTCACTACTGGTTGTGAGATCCAGGGTCCCTGCAGAAGTCACTACTGGTTGTGAGATCCAGGGTCCCTGCAGAAGTCACTACTGGTTGTGAGATCCTGGGTCCCTGCAGAAGTCACTACGGGCTGTGAGATCCTGGACAGCCCTTTGACTCTCCACAGATCTCATGTCTTCATTCTCATTTGGGAGCAGCAGATGGACATGACCAAACATGACAGATGCATGTGTAAAAGCATCACAGTGAATCCCATCCATTTGTGCAACTAACCTGTATTAGTTATTATTGCAGCCGAGGATGTCTGTTTGTAGAGTGCTTACCTAACATGCACAAGACCACAGGTTCTGGGGCTGGAGAGATGGCTCCCAGTTAAAAACACTGGCTGCTCTTGCAGAGGACCCATGTCCCATTTCCCAGCACCCACATGGCAACTAACAACCATCCATAGCTCCAGTTTCAGGGAATCTGATGCCCTCCTCTGGCCTCTTTGGGCACTGCATGACATGGATGCACCATACATGGAGGCATAACACTAGTAAAATAAAAATTTAAAAAGGCCATGGGCTCTGTCTCTAGCACCTCATACAACTGGGTGTGGTGCTGCCTGCCTCTCATCCCAGCACTCAGGAGAGGCAGAAAAATCAGTAGTTCAAGGTACATAATGAGTTCCAGGACTGCTTGGGCTACCTGCAACCCTGTCTCAAAAGTAATAATACCCAGTTCTTGGGAGGCAGAGGCAGGGGGATCTCTGAGTTTTAGGCTAGCCTGGTCTACATAGCAAGTTCCAGGCCAGCCAGGGCTATATAGTGAAATCCTGTATCCATAAGCCAAAAGTAATAATAATAACAACAATAATAATAATAAATATCTGGGTCTAGAAGGATGGCTCAGTAGTTAAGAGCACTTGCTGCTCTTGCAGAGGACCTGTGTTTGGTTCCTAGCACCCATGTCTGGCAGCTGACAACTGCCTGTAACTCCAGCTCCAGGGGATCCAATGCCCTCTTCTAGCCTCGGTGGGCACTGCACTTGAATGTGTACACACACACACACACACAATTTTAAAATAATGTAAAATCTTTATATAAATAATTAAAATAACAATAATGATCTATATTCAATCTACCCAGGGCCTTTGCAGACAGGAGAGAGGGCAGGACCATGGAGGTTTGTAACAGGGTGACCCAGCAGTTTATCATCAGCTACTTCAGGCAGGGACTGCAGATTCCAAAAGTTACACAACCCTGTGTGCCCACGTGACTGAGAAGAGCTGAGGGGGTGCTGAAGCTGGCCGTGACTCCCCTTCCTGTTCAAACAGCCCAGACTGCAAGGTGCGCTTTCTCTTTAGGGAGCAGTGAGGGCTGGATGGGGTCTCCTGAAGAGGAGGGAAAGGAGCCCTGGGCTGCCCACTCTTTGAAGACAGTAGGAGTGTCAGCAGACCTGCAGGCCAGACTTCTGTCCCTGAAACCCCACTGGGCACATTACTGTGCATGGTCAGTGTTGCTGTCTGTGAGGAACTCAGCACCAGGGCTTTGGATTCACTGGGAGACCTGAGGCCCCAGGGTGGGTATGTGTCCCCTGATTTGCCTGGGATCTGTTGGAGTCAGACTTCCCCAACAATGGGTCCTATCATTGGATCAAATCACAGAGATTACATAACTCATGGACCTCAAAGACACTGTCCCTCCTCTCTCCAGGAAATTTTAATGTTTTAAAATTTATTTATTATTGTGTATGTGATGTGTGAGTTCCATTGTGCACAAGCCACAGTGTACATGTGGAGTCAGACAGCAATTTCCTGGAGTCAGTTTGTTCCTTCTGTCTTTGCACGGGTTCTGGGGAAGAACCTTTACCTGCTGAGCCATCTTGCCAGGCCCTGTCTTCAGGAAATTTTGAGACAATAAAAAAAGTTGACTATCCAAAGAGCACGTCATTTCCTCATAGCGAGCAGCATTTCCCAAAATTAAGCCTGCAGCAGGAAACTTCCAGAAAGTTAGTGACAGGAAAAGTGAACATGTTCTGAGAAGCAGTTAATTAAGGCTCAGAAGAGCAGCTGCAGTGGGAGGGCGTGGTGGTGCTCACCTGTAATCCCAGCACTCAGGAGACAAAGGCAGGTGGATCTGCGTGAGCTCCAGGCCAGCCTGGTCTATGTATCAAGTTCTAGGCCATCAGGGCTATATAGTGACCTTGTTTCAAGAATAAAATAAAACTGTGGGGCTGGAGAAATAGCTCAGGGGTTAAGAACACTGGCTGCTCTTTCAGAGAACCTGGGTTCAGTTCTCCTGGTTCCCAGCACCCACAAGGTATCTAGTGAACATCTCTTTCTGTCTGTCACAGGAACCACCATGATCCCTGTTCTCCCCTTCCTCAAATGGCTCACAAAATGCTTGTCAGTGACACTCAACAGAGTGATCTTGTGACCTTGAAACAGTAGAAAGCAGACCAAGCCGTGTATGACAGACAGGACAGGCAACAGTGGACCCTGGGAGCCAAAGAGTTAACCTTGATGGAAGATACCAGCTGGTCCCATCAGCAGTGGGAGCAGCAGGCTTTTACTTGACTTTGGGGAGTAAGCTAATTGTCAACAGCCAGCCCTCTGTCTTGGGCATGAACGCTCAAGTACACTGATCTTGCACTTGCTGTGCTCACCAGTGTCGACTTAACTCAGGAACGGTGAGTTTCTCCTGTTGATGGTGTCACAGGTTAGTCTGGACCCTTTGATGATGCTGAGGGACTGTCACGATTGAGTTAGTGAGAAATCGAAAGGACGGGAAAGGAAGGAGAGACACCGCCCTAACCGGCCCTCAGCTGAGTTCCTCATGGATTATAGTCTCAGCCGGTCAGCACAGCTCCGTGCAGAGTCTGGCTTAAAGGGGACAGACAGACACGAGGACAGAGATGCTTAGTTATGTTTCCTGTTGCTGTAATAAAATACTCTGACCAAAGCAAGGTTTGGTTGAGGGCAAAAGAGTTTGTTTGGCCCACAATTCCAGGTTACAGTCTGCTGTGGGGAAGTGAGGGCAGGAACTTGAACTGGCTGGGGCTGGTCATATCACATTCACAGTCAAGAGCAGAGAGCAGAGAATTAATGCACAGCAGCACCTGGCTCATTCTTACACAGTAGAATCCTCTGCCTAGGGAATGGTGATACCTACAGTGGTCTGGTCTTCCCGCTTCAGTTAACATAAGCACACATAAGTAAGACAGTCGCCCATAGAGGGGCTCCCAGGCCACCCAATCCAGACACGTCCTCATTTAGATGCCTTTCCTGAGATTCTAGATTGGGTCCTGTTGACAGTTAAAACTAACCATCACAGATGCCAAGCCTTCTAGTCCCATTTTAGCCACACACCAGGAATCTGTAGTCTTAGGTAAAGAGTGTGTTTTAGCAAAAGCAGCTTTTACATTTTTGCAAAATAACATAGGAAACTGTCCTACCCCACACAGCAGTGTTATCTATAGTAAAGCTCATAGAAATTAATAATATGGGGCCTTGGAGAGATGGGTCAGCGGTTGAGAGCAATGACTGCTCTTGCAAAGGACCCAGTTCAGTTCCCAGCACCCACATGGCAGCTAACAATGGTACATAACTCCAATTCCAGGGGACTCTGATGCCCTCTTCTGACCTCCACAGACATTATATGACACGGGTGCGCTTACAGTAAAGCTCATAGAAATTAATAATATGGGGCCTTGGAGAGATGGGTCAGCGGTTGAGAGCAATGACTGCTCTTGCAAAGGACCCAGTTCAGTTCCCAGCACCCACATGGCAGCTAACAATGGTACATAACTCCAATTCCAGGGGACTCTGATGCCCTCTTCTGACCTCCACAGACATTATATGACACGGGTGCGCTTACATACATGTAGGAAATATACTCATACACATTTTTTTTTTTTTTTAGTCTTTTTGAGACAGGGTCTCCCTGTAGCCCCGGTTGTCCCAGAACTTGCTATGTAGACCAGGCTGGCCTTGAACTCACTGAGATCCGCCTGTCTCTGCCTCCTGAGTGCTGGGATTAAAGGTGTGCACCACCACGCCCAGCTGTTTGTTTTTTTTAATAAATATTTTTAAAATAAAGTAATAATGTATCAATTGTCTGTGTGGCCTTCAAAACTAGTGGTCCTTTAAGTTTATTAAGAGTAAACGAAGCAGGAAGGCTTCTTTAGAATCTTCGTTGGTTTGTTCATCCCCTATGCAGCTGTCCGGAACCCACTGGTTTTCGCTTGGTCGTAGAGGCTCCCAGCCTGTCACACACCAGCCTGTGGCCTGACCTGGTATTTTAGGGCAAACCCTTTGAGGCATGAAGATGGAGGCAGAAGAAGCCTCCGTTGTCATACGTGGTTTATGCGTGTTTTCCATGTAGTGACCATGCAGCATTCCATGTGTCCATTTCCTGTCTATAGGCGTGTCTGTTCAGGGATCCCTGCAGTGTCTTCCCTCCACAGAGCAGCAGTTGGAGACACACACACACACACTGGCTGTGAATGCCCCGAGTCACCTGTGTACCTGTTTCTTTATTCTCTTTGGGTGGGAAGATTCAGGTTACGGATGGAGCCCAGGGTCTTGTACACACAAGGCAGGTGCTCCACCCCTGGGCTGCATCCCCAACCCTGTGTACAGTTTGCTATAAGGTTTAGACCCAGGGGAACCACTCGATCATCTGACCTTTTACCTACCACATAAAGAACGCATTGCTTCCCAGCTCACCTCAAATTTCCTATTCTTA